TGTACGGGTCGTACACACCCGCACACGTCCCCCCCTCAATATGCCTTTTGTAATGTAAAGTAGCATCATAGCCGTTTATCCCCCCTTCTTGTTTGCATAATTTTGTTTTCTTTATTAATTGTACATGGTGCTTGGGCTTTGTGACTTTTTGTTTGTGTTTTGTGTGCCTCCAATATTTCCAGTGTACTTCGGCCGGTCTTTCAGCTCAGCTGGAACAAACTGTACGTCTCGTTCTTCTGTGTCTTGCCTTGACGCAGCTAGTCACGGGAGCAGATATTAGTCTCGTCTGGGCACCAGTCGTTAGAAGTCGTCCCAAGCTCTTTATTCCGCGCTGTGCAACAAGCCTCGCTGAGGCGGTGACCCACGGGCCGAACATCTTGTGCCACAGCACGGCCTTGAGTCGGGACACAGCGTATAGTCCGGAGGGGTGTACATCGGTCCTCTGGTCCGGTCTAATACTCTCTTGCACGCGGACTATCACTCGCCTATGCCCGCAGCCTGGTTCCCAGGATCCTGGCTACCGGCTTTCCAAAGAACGAGGCATACTCTGACGTTCACAATCTTCCCAATCAACCTCAGCTTGGAGAGTCGTCTTGTCCCAGTTCGTCTTGCCAGTGTCCCACGGCGTTCTTGTCTTGAAAACTGCTCCAATTTACGTAGAAAGGCGCAATACCGATATTCCTGTGTTGATGATGAGATATGACACAATCTCTCACCATGGACCCTTTTCTACCTCCATGCTCTCACTAAGTTCCTAGCGTGTTGCTTGTGTCCAGTATAGTTGTACAATGCACGCTCCACAACCAGGCATGTAACGGAAAGATTTCAAAAACAATGACCCGAGCGTTGATTGGCCCTCTTTTCAAACCCCAACAAAGAGAAATGCATGCAATTGGCTGGTCTGGTTTACAGGTCACCGCAGGAATAATGATATACAAAGAGTTGTGAAATGTCCTGCTTGTCTATTATGTAAAAGTTGCACGCACACTAATAAAAAACATACTATATAGGCTATAAAATAGTCTGGAATGTTATCATCAACACATAATTTGCAGTTTACCCGTGTAATGTTTTCAACTTCGTGTTCTTAAAGTATAAAAATTAAATATAACCAAGGAAGTTAAACCTCTCTTATATAAAAACAAACAAACAAGGTAAATAAGACATAGGCGCCGTCTCGTCTCTGACCATGACACCACAATACACATCTTACAACAATGTACAAGTAAACTATGCATCTTTTGCCTCTTCCAAAAAAATTATTTTTACACTAAAGTGGGCTGATATTTGAAAAAACACCAGAGCGGTCCCTCTCATTACCAAAGAAAACGACCATGTTTACAAAGGTGAAATATGTCAAGGTCGAAGGTTCCCAATAGACTAGTTTGGTAAAATTCTGATCAGTAATTGTGTTGTTGTTTTTGCCCACTGTAGATTCAATATGGTGCCGGTATAATGAGGCGTTAATATATGCGGGGAGACGATGGACCACACAAAGAAATCTACTCATTGTTCATAGCAAGGGTTATAGTTACAAATATATACAGGGATACACTTAGACCCCATTCATACCAAGGACGTTATATCATAACCTAGTTGAAGCTCCGTGTTCATATAAAATCCTTGTTCATACCAAGCTTCATATATCCTTCTAGATTCTTTAGCAGAGTTTATATAAGCCTGGCGTGGCCCAAAAGTCAACCAGACTCTGGCGAGGGCGAGTTTATAGCAGACATCCGG